GTGATACATGGGTTAAAAAGCACTGACTATACCTTGTCTTCTGTTAAAACCCTTTTCACAAATATATCATATATACAAAGGACAGTCCCTTACGTATTGGTGTGTTTCTATCACTGCTTTTATAAACCACATTAAAGGCCTATCTTATTCTCAAATGGCACCCATTATGTAGCCTAGAACGTCAGTTCCGCGACACAATGGGCACATACCTCGGATCAGGAGGCCACATTTAAATGATCTGATATTGCAATTGAAAGATGGCCGTTTTTCATGTGGACCATAGCAGGCTTAATGGCTGCTGCCAACTAACAGTGCAATCCTGATATCCCCATGTTCAAAACTCTCGGCATTCTACACGCATAAGCCATAGTGTCATCATAATTAAAGGTTATGTCAGGGTTACCATATAAATGTAGTCGGAATCCATTTACGGGATTTCTTTTTACCTTTGAAGTTTCATTTAAAACCACTCTATCAATGTTATGTCACTATGGATATTGGTTATTATCGTTAACTGTTGTTACAAAGGCGAATTTAGAGTAAAATAAGCAGGATTCAATTACAAATCTCTCGGACACAATATCAGTTCATATCGAAAATGGATGCAATATTTAACAAGTTTTGCATATATTCCGAAGAGTTCGATTTTCGCAGTGTAGACAGAATATGTTTGTCTATATCACATGAAGGTACCTCACACCAGATACCACAATCTAATAATGTGCCATCCTGTGTCAAACTCGTCTTCTATTTCAATAAATTTAAATACCAAGGCAAACCTTTCAAATTTATTTTGGTTATCTCTCCCAATATATTAGATCCGTGTGATCAATAATCTGGATGAATATCGTTCTCCCTTTATCATCCCTCATGGTATTCAGATCTTTATTAAAAATAGCAACAAGCTCGAAGGAGTAGCACTAATGATAGAAGATATATATGATAGTTATCATTATAAATTATCAGATAATATATTTACTATGATATCTAGGGCGAACCGAAATGAATTCGTGTGCTTGATATATTATCTTCCAATACTCTTTATTATTTTGTTCAGAGAAAGACCTTTCTATGATCTTTAGGATTAAGTTCGATTAAAAGTGGATTTGATTAATCTACCTAGCCACCAATACAATGAGCTTCAGTAAGAGTTAAAATTGCGGTCACTGTAGGAAATTGAATAGTTTTGCTTTCGGCAACTGTAGTGTTTCTACCAGGCGACAGTCTAATTTCAAAAATTGCAATTAAGTTTAATTCCGAGATTTATTGATAAAAAATACCAAATAGTATCAAATGTTTCAAACTATCAATATAAGATCTAACTTTCTGCCTTATGAAGAACCCATTTCACTTAAACTAAAACCAAATAGCAACAACGTAATGCCGGCGAGGTCGGGATAAAGCACACTCATATCCTACAGATAATACTATAGTGTATGTTTAGCGTAATTCAGCCTTCAAAATTTCGAGGTATTATTTTAACGTATCTATTACCACTGAGAAATGTAAAGACCTGATTTAAATGGTACTTGAGATTTATGTAAACGGTATAGATACGGTTCGTGTTTCCTTTTCGTATCAGATCGATAATATATGATAATACACTGACAAACCTATCAGTTACACGCACTCCAAAGTCGATATATCACCATTCACGTACCTAATTTAAAACCAATTATAAATCAGTGCTTGTTAAACTGCACAGCGCCTTCACAACTAGAATTGATAAATCACATGTTGATCTACTTTCATAATATTCGCCGTAAGTAAATCAACATGTCCCCCTTTATGAGATATGCAAACATTATGACCAGACTTGAGCCAGCACTTGAAAGACGAAAGTGTAGTATAAATGCCTATTTCGGATGTTAGGGACCTCAACCTAAGGTAACAGTTTCCCTAGCGTACCTTTGGTATGTGCAAATTGATCGAACCCTACCTGTGACAGGCACGGAGTCTGAGCCATGCTGCACGAACACGACACGCTGTTGACTCCACACAATCTATCGATTTATCAATTTTTGTACAAAATATTGGACTTCCATGTTTAAAGTTTGTCATTACATTTTTAAAGGACAAGTTTGTGTTATGTGAACACGATTTGTTACGTTATGTATATACAGGAGTCTCTTTGTTACGCACGTAAGTCGAAGGTGTTTAAAGATTGAATACACAAACCACTACAACCGTTACGTATGTCGGTGGGATTAGCAAGGACAATGAGTGTTTGATTAGACTCCATATATTACCTTGAGTAAGGTAAAAGGATGGATGTGATAGCGCTAGAAAATTTGGGAATATTATTGTGTAAATATTCAGAGATAAGATGTCCATGTGTCCTTCCTTTGGGATATCACTTTGATATATAGTATAAACTCCAGCACAGGTAGGCTATTTTTTCTTGTTGTAGTTTTTAGTTACGACAATGTGTATATAATTGACCCAGGGTAGAAAATGTTAGTCATTAGAGGCGTGTGTAAGCATTATGATCGCTGAGGAAATTGTATTATGAATCGTCAGAATAGCAGAAAATGTCTATACGCTACAACACTCGTCGGATAGTGGTAAGGCAGAACAGTGATGGTTTGGTTCACATTAGTCAGCTTTACGGTACCTGAGTTCTAACCATCCACTGTCATCTAAATGTAACTAAAAGCATATGATAGTGACTGCTGATTAAGTAACCTTCCGAAGTATTAAAATGGTGTTACTTACAAGAAATACATGACAACAGGACAGTTTAAGTTATTTATGAAATGTCTGTTGACTTTGATGCAGGTATAATCAGATTAGCTGAATTATGATATTCGTTGTCCTTTTCTCGATTTCACGATTTTAGAGCCAGATATCAGCAGCTGAATATGCAGGATGATGAAAATTATTTGAAAGTTTTACATAATCTTTAAACAATTAACTCATCGAGAAATACATGTATTTTACATCTTTGTGTGATTTGAAGCTGGATGTTTTAGAAGCACGTTAGTATATTTGGTGGTTCGTTGCTGTTTCTCTTGAAAGCATGACACTGATTACTTTGAGTGAATAACATTAACCTGGTTGTTGATTCGGTGAAGCAGAAGACGCTTACCCTTTGAGAACACCTCGTCTTATTCTTATTGTCCTTTTTCATGAGTCTCCTTCAACATCTTTCTATTGTTCTATTGTTTGTTGTTTTTAGAAATTACTTTCTATAATGAGGCGATCGGGAGACATAAAAAAATCAAAGTTGTGTTTCAGAATCTTTATATTGGATATCACTATATCATATAGCAATCATCAAAACATCAATTGAATTACAACAAAAACCTCAATTCTTTGTTTCAATAGTTGTGTAATAGTCTTTAACTTTTATACATCAGTACATTTTCGTCGGCACCAAAATAATTCCTTAAAAGATCCAAGTTGTATATATGTTTACAATGTTGTATAGTTTTACGAATCATGGTCTGACTATCTGACGGTCTGACTGTCTCACAGTCTTAAAGTCTGTAGATAAGCACGTCATGTCTGATATCATATTTTAATGAAATGAATGTTTTCATAGCATTATCAACAACAATACATAGAACAACAGATACGATATATATGCGTCTCCATACTATCAAATCCTTAACAATCAACGATTGGTCGATGGTAGGTATATTATTGTGAGATCATTCCTTCGGTGTTATTGTGGTTTTGTAAACTAAAATATCTAATATTGCATATTTCTGTTGCCAATATGCCATTGTGTGAAGATAGCAAGTAAAAAAGTATCTAGAAAAAGCCTTATCACACCAAAAATCTCATTATACATCAACTTATTATTTTCTTAGCATTCGGGAAATCGTCAGTTTAGTCTGCCTACATACATTACTACATACTTACCCACTTGTTCATGTTAAACTGATACATAGACGTTAGTGACTCTAGTAAATTAAAAAAAAATGTTTACTGCAAATATAAAAGCAAATACAACTTAATTGACATGCTTCCGAAGATATCAAATCAATGGTTTTATCAATGTATAAACACAATTCTGTAGATGTACAGAGATGACACAAGGGGATTAATCAAACCGAGTATACGTCGATAATCCTACCCAGGAAACATCAATATGTCACGGAGGCTGGTGGTAACATGCGCTACATAAACTCGTCAATCACGCTTTGATACACAAATGTGCCTAAAACGGCATACATCGGAGCAACTTATCAGCTGTAACGAATTTAAAGCATGCAATCACGCAACATCATCATTAACACCATCACGCGTTTCATATTCTTCAAATAAAGCTATAATGATTTTAGCTGACAATTTTATCGACGAAATGCGATGTCTTTGATTGCAATTGTCAAGAGTCATTAAGTGATTTCTTAATCCAAACTAATGAACCGTTAATTGATTTTTGAGATTCCTTGTGCTTGTCGCGAACTCGTTATCTGCTAGTTTAGGTCGATGTATATTATAGACACTGTCCAAACTCGTATAAATCCAGATGCCTTACGGAGTTATTACACATATGAAAGAAATTTGTTAACAATCCTGTCAGGTGTACGGATATTTTCATTTTAATGTAAGCCTTACCTCTCTTAAGTGATAACGTCAAGGATCAATGTTACTCATTGTCGGTTATTAAAGAAAGTTTCAAGGTGATATGTATACCTGTAATATAACATCTATGCAACATGATCCTATGAAAAGCTTAGGATTTGAATATAATTTCTATATACTAGTAATTTCAGCAAGCGCTTCATCCGTGTGTAAAGATACAAGTGTATTGTATTCAATAACAAGGATATACTTATGAAAGGTTTCAATAAAAGTGCGGTCTGTCCATACTCAACTAAATCTAATACATATGTATATAATTTATTCTTTCAGATCATATCATGAGCTTCGAGGAAAACACGTAGACATGTTGGCCCAATGGGTTGGCTGACATAGATGAAGATGTGATGTGCCGGAAGAAATAAACTTCAATTTGACTTTCTTGTTAATCGGATACACTATATATTGCAATGACGGCATACCTATCTGTCGGAACCGACTTACAAAGAAGGGTGTTGTCACCTCTTCTTGAAAATCCGGAAGGAGAAGAAGAAGAGGAGCATCCTAAAGCACCAACACTCGAGGAGTACATTGCTAGACCTGCTACAAGAGGTACAAGTCGGCAAGCGTTCATGACGGAAGCTGCTAATGACTCGGATGGATCAGATCACGAACAGAAACCAGACCAGCAGCATGTTTCCTCGGAAGATATCACCCTTAACATTGCCATCAATGGAGGCTGTTTCCTAGACGATATCAACAGCGACGAGGAGGATTCTATTAGTGATGGAAGTTTGTCAATCCCTACTGACGACTTCGACACTGATCTGGAAATAGATGATGATCGTAAGTAGCTTTAGTTTGCTACCTGTATTTCGCATATAATTTTTCAGTCATGTTTTTAATTTGATATTTTAACTTATTATCCTCAATATCTTCACTAGCGAGTCAATATGTTGTATTCATCTTTTAATAAAGAATATAGTAAATAAATCTGCTATAGAATGACTGATAGTATACAAAAATTAAACGAGAACGGGATCGAAATAGCATATTTAATTTAATAAACTTTGGTTTTCGTTAAATATAAATCATGCTTCTATTGTGTAACAAAAATACGGATATGTTACGTGTTCTCTCAATCGCTACATCGTATGTCTAATGATTGTACAAAAGACAGACAAGTGAATGCCACCTTTTAACAGAAATTTGTCATTAAATACAGGAGATACAGTAGAGTAAAATAATAAACTAGACTGCATCATGCAGATGTTTCGTACTTCTAGGTGTTGTCAGTGATGCCAAGGGTCTAAATTTTGAAACCTTGGAGGCGACAAATTGGAAACAAATTGATCAAAAAAATATCAAAATCTCGATCGGGACCTGCGTCAATCCTGTTATTCAACACATTTCGGAATATTTATGTTGTTGATATCTTCAAAAGAATATTAAGTTCGTGTGTATATTCTGAACAGTGCCACTATTTGAATGTATCAAAAACGTCGCATGCAGGTTAAGACAAACCTCGGGGACCTCGGAGACTGAAAGTACACCAATGTCTAAATGTTTGTACAAAAGGCAAACAAGTGAATATCACATTTCAAAGGTGGAATAAGATAAAGAAGGCCAAATCATGAAGTAAACTAAATCATACAGCCGTTTCTCCCTTCAAGGATACGCAAGTGATGCTAAGAGCCTGAAATTTGAAATCTAGAAGGCAACTGAAGGAAACAAGGATTGCTCGATAGATATGTCAAGCTCTAAATGAATAAAGAATGAAGTTTGAAGGATGTTTACCGTGTTATTGATCAAAAATCATTTCTGTGGGACGCTATCTATGTCGCATCTTTTTCATTATAGGAAGGATGGACCAGGTAACACGTAATTATTTGCACTCTTGTTTCTTCCAGAATGGCTGAATCCCTCAAAGACAGATCACGACACCACAGGAAGGACAAAATATATCAAAGTGTGTAACGATATGGGAATAAGTCCAGTGTCGTATTTTGTTAAAAATTTGGAACAAAGAGAACTTAAAATGAGATTTCATGGACTAGGGCCACTTGGAATTAAAGCAATATCCATCCCGCTAGAGGTAAGTATTGTTATTCATATCGCCATGCAACATTGATATAATGGAGTGGCTAACTTGTTGTTTTTGAAATCGAATGTACATGTGTTCTTGAGAAGTATATATACGAATGATCAACTTCCAGACCTATTTAAACGCGATTGTGACAGGCTATTACTTTTCTAATAAAATGAACGTTTTTCTTTTTGTCTTAAACGATTCATTGGTATTATCCTAATGGAAAATAGAATTATTCTTTACTATATCCTTCAGCGCATTTATATATGCTTTACTTAACTCACAAGTTATGCTTGTTCTCGGTAGCTAGCAAGTCATCGTCTCTTTATGACTTATGAAAAAATTTGATAAAAAATGTTTCTTGAAAAAAGTTTGCCCTGAACTTGGTACAAGGTGAACCTTGCCTCGAAATGACTTTTCAGTGGCACAATCACATGTGAAGGGTATAACTGTAAACATATTGTTATAGGAAGTATTTATAACAATTGCGGCTTACGTGATACCTCGTGATACATTTTCATTATTCTACCTAGTACATGTTTACGTGATACCTCGTGATACATTTTCATTATTCTACCTAGTACATGTTTACGTGATATCTCGCGCTATATTTTCATTATTTAACTTATATGTTTACGTAATATCCAGTGCGATGTTTGCATTATTCCACTCACATGTTTACGTGATACCTCGTGATACATTTTCATTATTCTACCTAGTACATGTTTACGTGATATCTCATGCTGTATTTTCATTATTTAACATATATGTTTACGTAATATCCAGTGCGATGTTTGCATTATTCCACTCACATAATTACGTGATATCTCGCGCTGTATTTTCATTACTCTACCTAGCATAACATATCCATGTGTGATATTATTTTTTGTTTGTTATTTCTTATTCATCTGTTGATTTTCAGACAAATACAAACATAGAAATATTAAATCTGCAAGGTAACGGTATCGATGCACAAGGAGCCAAGAGTTTATGTAGGGTGCTGAGGGAAAACCTTTTCCTAACAGAAGTGGTAAGTTTCAGAATACTTTCCCCTTCAACTGTCCGATATGCTGAATAAAATGTAATGATTTCTTAAATATGCATGCTTTTATTTTCAATTCAATAATTCGGTCTATAGTGACGATTAAATGCGGCAAGGTTCTTTCTACCTTCAATAACTTCAATATTTTGAAATATGATTAAATGCGGTTATATAGCTTTATTTGTTGTATATCAGTCAGTTTCAATAGTGTTGTAAGTGACGTGTCATCATAATATTACATTATAAATGTGAAAGTAATTATAACATTACACGTGGTGGCTATTGTGTTTTATATGCAGTACCCATACAATTTAAACGTTTAATAGAAATGACAGTTTACTCTCTTTAATCAGACCGTATTTATCTCAAATGTATAACATATCCATGTGTGATATTAGTTATTTCTTAATATGTGCAGACAAATACAAACATAGTATTATGATGAAAATATTCTGAAAATTAAATGTATCACAGAATCATTATCCGTTACTTTTATTTTCATTTAATTCCTATATACGATTAAATCAATCACTTCAATAACTTCAATATTTTGAAATAATACTGTAGTTGTATATATACCAAGTGTAATAAATTATTACAACATAATTGTAAACATTACTGTTATCTTGAGCTAGTATCCAGTCCTAATATGTGCAGTCATCTGTATTATGATGAAAATATTCTGAATTAAATGTATCACAGAATCATTTCCGTTACCATTTATTCCTATACTCAATCACTCATGCTTAAAATACTGTATTCTATATACCATTATTGTAAGTGTCTTCACACTTGAATATTCGTTATATTGCAAAACAGCTGAAAGATTTGATCATAAAAATTTAAGTAGACATGAATCCGTAATACTAAATAGCAGTTACATCGTATTCTGAAAATGGATTTAGACTAATTTAGCCACATGGAAGTAGGTTACTAACCACATACCACATTGCTGTACATTAATTTACTAGATTTACTACTTCATATCTTTGTTATCAGCTCTTCAAAAAGATTTTTGTTTTTATCTACGCGGATACCAACGGCTAATAACCCTACATTTGTATCAACATTAGATTTTCGTGATGGATCGGCATGTTTGATGTGATACTATCAGTATACATTCTTTCCGTATCGAAGTAAACATATGGGGATTTCTGTATGATTGTGTTAGAAAAGTGAACGGAATATCAATGAATATTGAAAAGCGATACAAGAGCGAGTCGGGTGCATTTTATAGAAGTAGGGATTTGTTACTATAATTATCCGTTGAAAATCTGTAAGGATGTAAACCTGGGACATTTAAAAGTCAAAAACTGTTTACGTTTGAACAAATTACCCCTTGGGACGTTACACAAATTTTACAACAATGGGGATCGTGTCGGTTATAATAGGTAGCCATATGCCTGCGCGAGATATGTATATATTTGTAACTATGATGTAGCCATATGTGGAGATAAGGGCATTCTCTAAAGCTCATTTTGTTAAATAGTTCTGTACTGACATATTAGATTTTACTCATTCATTATTTGATCGCTCAACTACACAATACCTCGACTCTAATCAACCGCTAACACATACAATGTAAACGATTTAAATGTGGAATAGAGTTTAAAATTTAATGTAAAACATACTAATAGATTTTGTATTTGTTCCGCTACAAAATCAGGTAACAGAACACCTTTAACATTGACACGCTTAAAATTGAGACCAACAGAGACTTGATTTATGTAATATTATATATATCGCTGATTCATATATAAACACATAGCGTATGTATACATGTTTTGATTTATTTACATCATGAATGTATTAGCAAAATTAGGATGATTAAATATCAATATAAATAGTATAGTTCTTTTCATAAACATTTCCAAGGACATAAAACTAGAAGTATACTCAGTCTTATTTCCTTACCAAGGTTTCCTACGTAATAAAATGTTGTTGGTGTTTTTATTTCCTGTGATCGAATATCACTTCGTATTACAATTTTACTGTGTTGTTGTTCTCTTGTTGCTCATTTGAAAGCTCGACCTACATTAGTTGTTTTGTGTTCAGGCAGGGTAAGAACAAAATGCTAAAAGTTTTACGTACCTCAATAACTAATATAAAATCTAATAGAATGAATCATACGACTACATACACACTAAAACAATACTGTCTTCATTATTTCTAAAACCGATAAGTATATAACTTAATAAATATTAAATCATTGTGATAGTGTATTGATCTTTGGATTCCTCAGTGACCACTTGCAGTCGTTATTAGCAAAAGTGGATCCATGTATTTATCAAAGTCCTATTCAAACATGTCCTAAATAAATACAGGATGTTATTAAAGAGGCTCTTGAATTTGTACAAAGGCCTCTCATGTGTTTTATAATGTAGTTATATAATTATGTAATGGACACTGAAATGAACTCTCTTGGCGTTATTGAAATTTCAAATATCGAAAGAGGTAGATTAAAGGAACAGATAACATTTTGAGTCATTTACTTTTTTCCATTGTAATCATAATTACTGTTAAAAAGTATATTAAAAACGCAATACTTATATAATCAATAAACTAATTCGTTATTTAGAATGCTTTGAAATTTGTCTTTTCAGAAGGAAATGTAAGTTATCAATGTCATCGTATATACTTTTGCATTTAAATCTTAATCGCTTCTATTTGTAGTATGGTTTCATTGCAGTGTACTTGAAAAGTAGATACAGTATTTAAAGTTAATAAACGGCTCTATACATTATCACATTGTCTATCTAAACGTATAAGACATTTAAGATATTCCGCTCGAATATATTGAAATAAATTGAATGATCTTTTTACATGTTCTTTAGGTGCTATCAGAAAATAAAATTGGAACTGAAGGCGCCATTTCGTTATGTCAATTTTTGAAAGGAAACAGAAACCTGTTCAAGGTCGACCTTACTGGTGAGTGAATGCTCGGCTTAATGATAACTGACGTGCACTATTTAATTTGTGAGAATATCTTTTTAAAGTAGCTATACGTGTGTATTGAATCGATTAAAGTTGCCATTGATAAATATGTTCTCGTTTTGTTTGAATTACACAATGCTTTTTAAGTTTAAAACTGATCCTTGTCATGTTAAAATAAAACCTCTAATGGTTTCGGAAAAAGTTTTGTTCTAATTTTTCTATCTCAAAATTTTAAGTTATATTCTGTTTCAGCAAATGAAATTGGCGACTCAGCTGGACAATGTTTCTATGAAGTACTTAAAGTACGTAGTTTTCTTTCTTTTCAATAATATGTGAAATACTCAAGCGTACTATAAAATGAGAGGAAGGTTATCTGGCCCGTTTTATACTACATTATATTATACTGTCCAAATCTTATTTAAGTTTTCAGATATCAACTGACTTCCTGAAGCAGTGGTCTCATAGGGTTTAAGAGCATGAATATAGTATGACTTGTTTAGTTGAGATATGTTTTGACGTTTTACGAGAAATATTACGAGATTAGTCGAATTGGTTTCATTCGTACTTCAACTGAAGATAAATCTCTGATTTCATATTTCGAAATTTGTTTTTTTTCTGGTTACCTCTTTTTCCAAATAGGATAAGTACGCTTGGTTGTATTTAAGTTATCAGTTATAGTTATTGTTATCAATATTGTTTTTAAGGGAAACCCAGTGTTAAAGGAACTCATTCTTGCCAATAACTGTTTAGAAGAAAACAGTGCTAAATGGCTTAAAGAATCGTTAACTGATAACGAAAACCTGGAAGTCTTGGATCTGAGTTGGAATCAGTTTAAGACAAGGGGTGCAGTCTGTATATGTGAGGGTTTACAAGTAAGTAATTCATATCTGAGTCTAATATAGTGTTCCTCACTTTGTTTAGGATATGAGGTGCTCATTGTATAGTCATTTGTACGGAGTTAAATTTATCTTAAAGTTTTTATATTCCTACATGAATTTTCATTTAGATATTGAAGGTCGTTTCTATACACCCGTCAAAACATTAATGGGATGCACAATTATATTTCATAACTCCCTATTTATACGAACAAAAGATCTGTATTTATTTGGTGATTTTAGTCATTTTGATTTACGAATACTGTATCAGTTGTTTCTGTTGATTGTTCAATTCTGACGGTTTTTACCGAATTCCTGAAGTAAAAAGGATATATCTTCTAGCGGAAATCATGCAACTGACTACGGTTTATAAACATTATTTTCAAATTTTAGATTCTTCGAAAATAACCATTACAGTGATAATTTACCGCATTTGAGACAAACTTTACAGAAATTTCTTTATCACAGAAAAAACACCCTTTACAGTAATGCATCATCACAATGATAAAAAGCGTAATAGTAATGCCTTCATCACAACGAAAATAATCTCTACAATATTGCCTTCATCGCAACGAAATATTTACAGCATTGTCTTCATCACAATGAAATATCTACGGCATTGTCTTCATCGCAAGGAAAACAATCTTTAAATTAAAGCCTTCATCACAATGAAGTTACGTTAAAATTATACATGTTTATCTTCATTTGTCAAGAATGATACTATATCATTAAATATCATTTGTAGGAAAATGTAGGCCTGAAGCGGTTCAAACTTGTAATGGCTGGTTTGGGAAAGAGTGGTGCTGAGGCGATGGGCACGGCACTGAAACAGAACCGTACTCTTCAAGAACTTGATATCAGTTTTAATCGAATACCGATAGAAGCTGCAGGTGCTATCGCCGCTGGAGTTAGGGAAAATGACACCCTTAAAACCTTAAAGGTAACACATTATGTTAGTAGTGTAAATTAAACTAAAGTTTATAAGCTATAACGTTTTGGAGAAGCTTTTTGGAGAGTATACATCGTTGATGTACAGTAACAGTACATCATTCCTTTTATACCATAAAACTGTTATAATTTCCCCATGTTACGGCAGTGGTACCGATTGATGATATTATTAGAAAAAATAAAGTTTAAAAAAAAAAAAAAAAAAGAATCAAAAAGATTGAATTCTGTAATATTTAAAAACGTTTGTTTTATTGTATCTGTTAATTTGCTATTAATACTTAGAAATGCATTGTGTATACGATGGCCAAATCACACTTTTTTCAGATCGGAAACAATCCTTTTGAGTCCAACGGAGCTATGGTGATACTGCAAGCCGTTGACCAGAACGAAAACAGTGCAATAACTTTTCTCGACTTCAGCGTAAGTACGAATTAATCATTTCAAAAGATAAAATCTTATCTATAAGAATGAAATGTGCCAATTTATGTATCACATATTTAGATATACATATATCTTCATGTTTCTACTAAATAAACATCGACTGACAGAACGTTTAGTGCTTGTAATAACGTATTAAGTTCGTGATGTTTGTTTTTGTTCCAGAATATGATGGTGAAAATAGAATTTGCGGAAATTGAATCACGTTTGGCTGAAAGTAGAGGTCTCCGTGTAGTTAACGAAGGGGTGCTTCCTGAAGTGCATCCCAAAAACGGAAATTATGCCAGGTTGAGTGCATTCCGTCGAGATCCTATTGAAACGTTTAAAAAATATGCAGAGTTCTCGGGAGTAAACTTAGAAGACGTATTCAATTGTAAAAAGAAAGTTAAGATAGACGCTGTAGAATTCAAGACCCTAATAAAGGTAAGGGAATATATATGTGCGGATTATAACTAGACAGATTTATAGAACATACAGTTACTAACATATCAAAGAGGTTTATTTTACTGTATTTCATTAGAATTAATGCAAAAATATATCTTGAAAGGCATGCGCATCTATCATACATAGGATCAGAAAAGAAACAGGACTAATAGGAATTATTAACATTTTGTACAGTATGGTAAATTAATTCTTAAAATGAACCTTTAAGATAATTAAATCATTGTTCTTGATAATTTGTATCATCTTATGTTATGTGAAAGTTCTTCAGATCATGAATATTATTGTTATCGTTAACATCTGAACACAAGCTACAGATTCATTAATAAGTGTAAAATATCGTATGTCACAATGTTAATTTTGGCAGAGTGTGGCCAACTGTTTTGAAATACTAACCACAGGCCTTGAATAAAACAATATGACGGGTATTGGCAGCAAATGGCTAATGTTTCCTTTGATCCCCCAAATCTGGGGCTTTAATCCTATTCACCGGAGTGCTTGATGGATAAGTGTAATTCATATAACACTGGAACAAGTCCAAGCGTTAAGTCCCTCTGAATAACACACGTACCACTTGATAAGCCCTTTTGACAAGGGTCAGATTATCATTGAAGGTGTACAATCGGCATCAACAGTCACAATGTTGTAGTCTACAAAGACCTGAATTGTAGTAGGAATTAGTGCCTCTACTATTCAATATCAATAGACATTTTGAAAACTCCCCTGGTGTTTGCTAATAAAGGAATCGTTATCATGTAGTCGATACAGAGATGTGTGTAAAGCATGATAAAGGAAATTTGAATGTCTTTTGAAATAAAAGGGTGATATGAATTTGTAATGAATACATATACATGTCACTTTTAATATTGTCTTTGAGTTCTGAAATAAATCTAGTTATTCATGATTCATACATCCTCCAATCACTGTCTATTATTAGGAAAGATGTTTTCGTTCGTAAAATAAATTGTGTATTTCCCCAAAGACAAAAATTCTATTTCGAGGGTAATTGATTTTGTGGATAAATAATACTTAAGAAAAATATTTCAACAGCTAATTAATTAGTGAATACTGTAGTAAAAATATATCTCCTCTGCAAAAACCAAAAGGAAGTACTTTATCACTTTCAAACAAAAAATCATCATCAGTAGACTCGAAAATATATTATATATTATTATATATCATAAGTATTAAACACTGAATCTTTTTATGTGTGAGATGGAAAGCTAATTTTAGAATGTATTTTTTTTTTTTTTAGTAAAATATGAAATTAAATTGATAGTTTACTTTCGTATTTCAAAGGGATCTGGCATTGATATCCCCGATCAACACATGACGGTATTGATTCGGACGCTGGAAAACGATGGCTTTATTTGTTACTGGTAAGTGATGAGAAATTAGTATTTTATACTTAATTAGTTAGGTAACGAGAAAAGGGAACAGAATTAATGATATGCGGTCAATGATGTCCGATAATTTTTCGGTGCTAGGATTTTGATCTTTTTAGTTGACAATGGGAGGTAACTCAAGGTAATATGTGCACAAGAAAAACTACCTTTAGGTAGTAGATTCCGAGGAAGAAATACTTTCTATGGTTTTATCTTAAAAGTTTATTGACCATTATTGATATGCAAATTAGCAACAATATTTTTATTATCATTAGAATATGAAACAAACATCCAGTGTCTGTCTTTGATTTTTTTTTTCTATCCTAATGCCTAGGGGCATATTTTGCAAGTTGTTGGATGTAGGGATTGAAGTTTCGTATCTCCACAATCATGTACATGGAAATCTTACATTATAGGAAAATCTTCGAGGAAAATGGAAACGACCAGGGCCACCACGTGAGTTTTTCCGGAACTATTGACGAGAAAGGGCAGGAAACAGACAAAAATAGGAATAGACCAAAGTCCAAAGACTCTCCAAAACTTGACAATTCTGGGGCAAAACCCAAATCAGCTAAAGCAAAAAAGAAAAAGGAGAAAAAGAAGAAAACATAGTATAGAGATATGTGTATTTACAAATATATCTAATAATCATCCTGGATCCAGGGCCACGATTGACAGAATATGGAATCGTCCTTAACTGGAACTATTCGTGTGTCCACGTTCAGTAGTGGTGCAATTAGTTGACCTATCGAGCCAATACTCTATATTTAACATCGGAAATCTGACATCGGTTGTTTACATTCAGTTCATAAACATGATTTTTAGGTGGATGCAATGTCGTTTGTCATCATAAAATCACATTAACAATATAAAAACAACCTGGCAAAGTCAAGGCTATGATGGGAGAGCATGTCTGCTGTTAATTGCTTACATATTTACAACATCACATTTGCTTACTGCCGAACACATTGTGTCAAGTGATGATGCCAATTTGTTATGAGATATTCGTATGATTCTGCGAATGATGCAGAATCATAAGAATATGGTCATGCAACATTAAAAAATCCTTTAGTGTTAAATGGAATTATTTCGCGGCGATTTTGAATATTTTCATAACTCGCGTTTTCATTTGTACTCAAGAATGTACTGTCTGAAGATGTGAAAGGCATTGTAAAGTGATAGTGATAAAACTTTTAATAACTCAATGTCATGAACAAGTTGTAGTTTTATGATATGACTATAATGAAGGTGCAGATCTCCGTTCGCAGAATAGACAAGCTTGCATATTCTGTATTACTGATATTGATCCCGATGCCATATCGTCACAATATGTTAAAGATTAAGAAACATTTATTCTTCTACAATCAATGCGTTAGACGTCATAGATTATTTTAGATTTATTGTTCTGTTCGTGATGGTAATGAATTTCGAAAAAGCAGAATTGCAGATATAGTATATAAGACTTATCATTTCATGTCAAAATATTGTCATCATTTCACAAGAAACATATCATGTTAATAACATGGACCGTTTTGTTATCAACTTTCCTTGACCTGTACAATGTTCTGTATGTAATAATGGTTTACATTTACCGAACAATTAAACCATAAATTAAAAAGTCTTATATTTTTATTTTCTTCCGTTTGCTAACGAAATACTCATTGTTATCTGTTATCTAATCTCACGACGACAGTTTCTTTTTGGTACGGTCAATATTCATGTAGCACCGTCACGTATGCATGTGCCACATTAGAAACAAAACCCATAAAATGAAGTTCAAATATGAACAAGAACAACACAGAAAGCTTCGCCATGCCAAGAGAATCATAATTCAAACTCACATTCAATAAAACTAGGCATACATAAACAAAAGGAAGATTTACACGGATACTCCTGAACATGTGCAGGAGAATAAGACCAGATGTTGCTGATGAATAAGCGTCTTCAACTCCATCGACCCAGCATGTAAATCTTGGTTATTTAAAGTAATGCCAAGTTCTCATTTACAATTGAGAACAAAGTATACGACAATGCAACCAACAGGTACACTAACGAGCATCAACACGTCCAACAAAATAAAGCTTTACACGCATATCATTAACAAACAATGTGAAATCCAACTATATCATTCTATTTAATACCCATTCAGAAGGTTTTTTCAAATGATGTGACGGACCTCTTACTTTGGAATTTAAAGATATGTTATCAGCATTAAATTCAGACCTAAATATATCATTCCTTCTGATTAAATTTAGTGCAATATTTATTGCACATGATAATAATCATGATTAATTACAGACATAGGTAATAAATGATATTTACCAAATATATAAATATAAAATATGATGACGATATTCTTATATCCTATGGAGTATATTTTACTAGCAACATAATAAATGATCCAGAAGTCTTTTTCAAAGGCCTTCAGTGCATCAGGATTTGACATGAAATAAGGGAGGTAACTAAAACAATGCTTGTTTTATACCAGTCACGACACCGTGTTTCAAACAAATAGTTATGTGTACGATAACTCCAAAGACAAGATGTATGTCGTACAATTCGGTATTATCTGAATATCAATACAGCTTTATCATCGAAATGTACACTTTTATTTTTTAAATCAAACATTAAAACAAATGTAATGCAATAGGTAATGGAGTTATTTGAACTATCTATTGGTAATCTTGATTTTGATTTGCTCGGCCCCTAGGTTTCAACACTGTAGGTCCATAGATCACTGCCGAGTTTCAGAAGAACGAAACAGATGAATTATGCATTTTTCTGACTGGTTTGGCTACACTGCATATAATTCGAAATCTGTATTCAGAGGTGTTATTCGCTTGTATGTTTTGGTACAATATATGAGGTATCTTACTCTAAATATCTGTATAAAGATGAAACTCACTTTTGTATCTTTTATACAAATCTTGAACATTTTAATATGTTTAACAAAATATATACAATTGAAAAGACAAAAGACTGAAGGTCACAGATGGGAAAGAAATATATACAGAAGGGGTTGAAACGGTACAAGAAACAACAAGAAAAATGCCAACAAGCCAACATAATCATAATCCAAATTCAAATTCAATAAATATAGGGCCAAATATGAACAAAAGAAAGAAGTAAAAGGAGAATAAGACCAGTTGTCTTCTACTTCATCGACGACACCCGTCTTAGTCAGTTAAAGTAAGTAATGTCACGGTCTCAACTGACAACAAGGTATACAACAATGGAACCAACAGCAAACAAACGAGCATCAATACGCCCAGGTTTGAGTGAGATCAAGATTTGCCCGTGGTTGTTATCAACTCGTTTGAAACTCTGTGTTATAACAGGTTTTTGTTTTGTGGAAAAGTATTGTCTTTTTTATAGACGACAGTTGTCATGTAATTGAATTCAAGTACAAGTGTCAGATATTGAAATGAGAACCAAGAAGATTGCAAGGACTCAACCACCAGCCGTATAAGAACTCGGTGTCTCTAGAACTGCTGTTTGCCTTTGAAGTGAACATCACAGTATTAACTCAGCTTTGATTTAGAAGCATTTTATAATGGAAATTGTCAATTAATATCTTGTTAATTAAGACAATAGGATTAAATAAATCTAGCACATATTGTGCCTTGATTGAATGGTGGGGTTGACTGTTTAAAAAAAGCCATGATAGACAAGTGAAATACATTGGAAATATTGATTAATGGAGTTGTAAATATAATTTCATCTTTGCAGTTCAAATGATAACACATGTTATAAGAATAGTATTTCACTATATTATCTATTTTTATTTCCTAACGCCGTACTTGCAACCCGGCATCTATTCGACTTGTTTTTTTTTATTGAATTATAATAAGTAAAATTTTCCTTTCCACATAGTTACACAATACTACTTCAACTTCGTAATGTTCAATACTAGTATCAACCTTATACAATGCAGTAATAGGAAAGTGATGGTCATTGTTTATGTCCATGTCCTTATTTGTGAAATATACTAACCTGTTAAATATAATTATCGTCCTGTATTTCAATTGCAATTAATTCGTATATTTCGCACAATGTCGTGGATGAAATTAAAACACAAATATACTTTTGAATCACACTGTTTTATTTTTCCGTATTCACTTTTCATGTTTCTGTGTAGGTATGCTTGTTATAATTTTTGTCGTTTTGTCGATTGCTGTTTTGCATACATCATGACAGTGCCGGGCCAACACTAAACCATTACCATTAGTCATACTATAGTAACTTACATCGGAGTTAATGCCCCTTATATACGTTTTGTTTTGTAGATGTATAGAGATTGAGCTGCCTTGTTAGAAATAACTCTGTTTCTATAAACCTCTTAACAACGTCTTTCTTCAATAATTCCAACAGGGTTGATACAGTCTAATTGATTATTACCACCCTTATTTTGATATACAATATTGTTGTACCTACCGTACTTACCAGGAACATGATTCTCACATTAACGCAATGAAAATTATACCCTTTAGTTTCCTTATTAGTCTTACAAGCCATACTATAATGTCTTTAAAATCCTATCTTGCTTATAAGTTAAGAACCAAGCAGTATACTGTCGGATGATTATATTTTAATGATAACTGAACTCTTGATTGATATGTGAAGGTATGTATTATTGATACTTAATACATAGCTATTCATTGGAATATTAAAGGTAAATTACATTTGTATATTAAACCTGAACATAAAATCCTGCAACATACAAATTATATTTCATATATATACTATAAAAAGACGACAATGAAAATGTTGACACATTCATTAGATGGATATACTCTCAAAATAATGATCTATGTTTACACTAGATGGTACGTGCACACATGTATCGTAAATTATGAAAAATCATTGGTGAAACACTTTCAGAAAGAGATTAACAGAACCAATAAAAACTCTACACTTACTACATCAGATCACGAATACAGCTCTTCAAATAGACAAACAACATCATCTGAGCAATTCATATATAACTTTCTTTGACTACCAAGTTACTAAGGTGTATAACTCTTCATAGAAGAAACACTTTCTGTGGCAACGCTATATGTTATATGTTTTTTTTGTCAGAAAAGTGCGATAATACATATGATGCTGGCAGGATTTTTATTGATCGGCAAGATTATACCAACATTTTACATTTCTCGGTAGACATTACACATTACAGTATGCAAGTGACCAATATAATGAGAAAATCGTACATATCGCAATCTAACATAACAATAAATAGAGTTCATTTATCGTCCTTACAATACCTTATTACAATACGTACATTCCAATGAATGCATAACAAGGAACGGAGGGCAAAATTTACCATCAATGGAGGCAACGCATTTAAACGTTATTGAAAGGGTGGCTTCATAAGCTGTGAATATTTGAGTCAATAATTGATATAACTTATTTGATTATAACAATTTTGCCTTCGAGCTAATTTTCAGTAGCACTAATATCTGGTACTGATATTAAATGGGCCAGTTAGAATTTCACTTTTACTATAAACATAATCTGATTTCCTTGTGTCAAAGACCCTCCAACATCTCCTTTGTAAGTATGGATTCGGTTCTTTCTAACCGAAATTCCGGTCGGGACTCTCTGGACTTGGTATTTTGGCTCCTTATAAGCTCTCGCTGCTTCTGTCTGTACTTTGTGTCTGCATCGATAAGCTCGCTGAATAAAAAGAATAATGAATATCAGACAGAATATAAAGAAAATCTATTGAAGATTATATCTATTCTTTTTGACTGGAATAGCTGTGATTTTATCAATGAAGTGGTGACCTGGTCAGAGTCTCAGAAAATATCATTTCTTTAGCTAAAACATCCGATGGGAATAACGATATCTATTTTTGCTCCTTTATTTTAGCTATTGAATAGTAAAGCTTACTCGAATTTGTAAATTGCTGGATTCAGATATCTACATAAAAGCAGGTGAAAATGAATAAGCATTAAAATGGCGACATTCTTTCCGTGTCGTTTTGTATCCATCACTTGAATTTTGAATAGCACTAAAGAACAGACCAAATTAAATCAGGATCCCTCGTTCTTAAAATTTCTTTTGGAAAAGAACATATAATTTCACCATTCTATACAATTTCGAATACCATCCCAAGCGTCCGAAACGCATTAATTGTATGGTTGTAAGAGGGAAGGTGAATAGTGATAGTTCTTTGTTTGGCTAAATAAAGGGTTTGTTGAAAACATATTATGCATTAAAGACGATATCAAGAAAGTGATTGAATTTTTTGTTTAAAATATTATTGTTTTATCTTATGTCAAGGTTTTACAACATACTATTGATATTTCTCTAGGAACAGATGTCGACTATGATATTTAAATTTAACGGTTTTATCTATTTATCATTTTTTTGTTCTGATTTTGTACGGTTTACAACTGTAACATCATTTCACTTGAATACCTACCCATAGTCTACGCAACCGTCTTTGTTTGTATCGAGTTTATCTAATAGTATTTCCATTTGACGGACACTGATCTTCATGCCTGCCCTCTGTAAATATATTAAACATTATACTTTATCACCACCTATTCTGGCCGCATTGATTATATATATCTGTCTCTTTGTCCACTTCAAAAGAAATTACTTTGTTATCGTATATAAATATCAAGCACACAATTGCAAATGCATTACAATATAATTATATGCATTGCATTTTTGTTACTTTATTATTTGACAGTGCACGTCAGAGTGCAAAAACATTGTTAATGAAGCTGCTCAGAGGAACGACAACTGCTTCTGGAAATGCTATTTGACACCATATCAAAGTGATAGTCAATTCCAATAGTGACAAGCGATTCATTTTAGTTATAGTCACAAACACTTTTTAACATGATTGCGATGAGATTGCATTATATGAACAGTTGAATTACCTTAAGGCCAAGAATGAATTCGTCCCTGCTGATAGAGTTGTTCTTGTCTTTGTCGAAATCTTTGAATAAATCAATAAGTCGATATCCTGTGTCCCTCGCGTATTCAAACAATCTGTTAACGGGGTTACGTCTGAACTCTGCCAAGGGGTCATGGGTCAGATAATCCATTTCATATTTCTCTCCAACGATACCACCATGTGTTATGGTCATTGCACGTGCAGCCTCGAGATTTTCCTGAACTTCAGTGAATTCAGGTGTGACCAACACATTCTAAAACAGCATATAAAAATACACACATAAATAAAGGTAAACTGTCATAACGCAATCATGATTAATAAACTAGAAAATAATATCAAGCAAAGCAAAAAGCACTTCATTTGTTGATAATTCATTAAAATCGCTAAAGTAACATAATAGCAGGAAGTTTATTTTCCTATTTGAAATAAAATTAACCCCCCCCACACACACACCTTTCCATTGTTGAAACCATCTAACATGTGCAAGAAAACAGAAATAAACGTCCATCTTCCAATATATATATGGAACACCTTCATTGAAAACATTCCCCCCCCCCCTTACGTGTATTACAAAAAGACCCAAATCGTTTCTTAATTTAAGCATTAGCCTGGGATTGTTTTAACAGATGTATGAAAATTACATCTTTATTCTCATTTTCGTTGTAACAACATTAGTTAATGATGATAAATGTAACTTTTACAAGCATAGACTACTTTAATGGATACCTGGTTGTCTTAGTGTTGCTGATGTTCTACCTGACTATGGTAAAGATACAGGTGTGCTAAAGTAGATAAATGTAAATGGTAACCAAATCATTTTACAACCAAAATTATCATCTTGTTAACAATGAGGTACCCGGAACCAATCAACCGATTATGGTCACTCGAATATTATATTGACATTGTTTCAACCATACATGTCGGGTTTCTTCATTTCATTTCCCATTAATTACTTGTATACACTCACCGAGAAATCTAGCGTCTGTACTGAGCTCATGTCATTTTTGCTGACTTCTGTAATGATGGCAACCGGCCCACTGTGTCCAAGAGGATTGGAGCCGATCTGTAGAGATTTGAATCAATTATTAGATGTTCTTATAAATTCATACGACAAGCAACGATGAAAAGTTATCATATTATAGACAAGTAAATGTTGAAATAGCATAATACATGCATCTCCTCTGAATAAAACCAACTGAAACAAATGTTATTTACTTTATCACTGTATCAAAGTTATTATATTGTATGTTAATATTCTGACTTAATACTCTCGCTTACTCGGAGTGTCTCTAGACAATCATTGGTTTGTAATCCTGTTGCGATGACGATGGCGCCTCGCTCCGGAATTCTGTTGTGGGAGATGTTTAGATCCTTAAGGGTGCGGTTTATCTTTAAAGCCTTTCCGACAGCTTCTGATCCATCCAGGCCGAATCCATTCATTGACAATTTCATGCATCGCAACCCGTAGTTCTCCTGATTAAGATCATCACAGAATTTACATAATAGATTCTGATATTTGAAAGGTGTTAATAATGCATCAAAGTCTTAAAAACAGCATTTTAGAGAGAAAATAACTTTATGCCTAATTTCAAAATAATCAGAATAATTAGGATATATGGAAAGATCAGCAGTTTTATTATAAAAATAATAATACAGAACACGCATTATAATGAATACGGCTACAACGACATTATTTAAATCTACATCTATATTGATGCACGTCATTTAGTATATGGTGTTTCCTTGAGCTTCATCGTCATTTTAGGATTTTATTTGAACAATTAAAGGTATATTTTATTGGAAGTTGTGAACAGCCTGATGGCATGTTCTTACACGTGATCAAGCCTCTATAGTCCATACCATCAGTCCTTCACCAAGTGCGACGGCACCCTTTGTTCTGAAGTGATTCCAACTCAAATCCAATGTTTCGATGACTTCATTATGTGATAGTAATTCCCTCAAAGCTATGCCAGCCCTCTCCTCCAAACGATTATTTGCCAGGAAAAGATGTTTGACGGAAGAGTTTTTCTGTAATGGTAAGCAAAATCATTAAACGTATTGTAATGCGCATTACAATCAGCTGAGGTCGGTTGTGAACTCTAGCACTAATTTAAATATTGAATGATAATGTACTGATCACCACTGAAATAGGGCCTCACTAATTAGGGCAATTAGAATTGGGAAGACATCACCTTGGCAGAATATATACAGTATATAGAACACTAAATATTTTGTCTTCTATTGTATGATAACCAAATAGGACACATGGTAAACGCTTACTAGAAGTGTAGTACATAGCTTCTCGGCTCCGCTGTCATCGATCTCGTTTCCAGACAGATCAATGGTAACAATGCTATCATTTTTAGATAACAGATCTGCCATTGCTTCTGCACCAGTGTTGCCTATTCTATTTTCTGCAAGATACTGCAAAAAGAACAAGCAAAAGAAATTCTACAATGCTCAAACATTCCTTTCCCAGACAACTAAAGTGGTGATTATATTGTGTTACAACATAGAAGAATGATTTATCAGTGTGTCTGATTCCAGCATTTCTAAACTTGGAGGTAACCCGAACAAATTAATATATTACAGCTGCATTGTCCGTTTCTCTATTAAACTAGAGACGTATCTAAATTTCGATACAGATTTTGTTGCCGAAAAAACAAACAAACCAATCATATTGTTTTATCTGGAACATCCATACATTATATAGTGATCATAAAGTATGATATTTACCAGTTCTGTTATACAGAAATTGCCAACCAACATCCTTGCTAAGTATTCCGATCCCTCCCCGAGAATCCAATTTCCTTCTAAATTTAAGACCTCAATTTTTTTGTTCGTCTGAAAAGGAAAAGAAATTTGTATGTCATAAAAAATCTCTATAAGAAATAGAAACAAATTCTATACTCAAACATCAGCCTCACTTTTATCTCGATGCAATCATAGACATGTAATTACTATTGTGTTTTAGATATCTCACCTTCATAGGGTATGCAATAGCTTTAGCACCAAGAGGCCCGAGGCCATGGAATCTCATCCGGAACTCCTTGTCCTCGATATGTTTTAGAAAATAGGACACCGGAATAACACCGGTTTCATTGCACATGTGAATATATTTACGTTCTCCCGTTTGATCCTTCTCCAGCTGAATTTCCTCTTCGTGTATCCACTCTGTAAAATAGCAAAGAGCAGATCATTAGTTCTCTTCAATAGTTGAACTAATTATAGAGTATATTTATCCAAGAAATGGTTCTTCCTTAAATAGTTAACGCAAATCTAATGAATGTATTTGTTTTATTGTGTTAAGATGCTTTATTGGTAAATGATATAAAGTAAAATTTTTAAAATCCAGTAATGTCTATACAAGTAATAATAGTTAACCCTACATGTGACATTTTTAAACATAATTAAGCACGAAATATCATCATGTCATAAAATCTTATGAAAATCATGCCAGTAACATTCTCTCGACGTCATAAACGAATTACGTCATGTATGATTCTCAGAGAAAATTCGCCTTTTGAAATGAAACTTTTTCAATGTGTTCCTACTTAATTGCGAACTTTTACTAGCCATAATCCGTGTCCTTGTCAAATTGAATGTACAAATGTTACACAGATATTTGGTATGGAATTTCATATTAAACGTTTATTTCATAACTTATTGTTCATCTCATTTAAACAATTCCCTGTGTCATAGACATCTTATGAATTAGTCTACATTCTAAGGGAAATTGAACGGTGATAAATTGACGTCTTTTAGAGTCTAACAGCTAGAAAAAGCTAATGGAAAAATGTGTCACTTAACTATAGAAATAACATAAAAATCATCTGCAATGTAAATGTAAGGAAAATCGGGGACATGGTTAATTTTGGTCATGTGATTAATACTAGTGATTGAACAATGACCAGCTATCGTTCTGTTGATATAGGTGTTACTAATCGAGTGTGTGTTGTTGAACTATTAATCTACTGCAAGAATAAAGGTTTTAATCGCTTTGCCCTAAATATCCGTATTATTTTTTTTCGTTGATCACTCGCAGATTAGTGGCACACTCACAACATGTGATGGCCACATGATTTGTTCTTTAAGTAGTAAAGATACCCAAGTGTGATTTCAGAAACAAACTTTTGGTAAGGAGTAATGAGGTACATTTACAGTAAATAAGTAGCAATATATCAGAAAACAATTTTCTTTCTTTACTTCACAAAGTTCACAAAATATAGAATCCATACACATGACCACCCAAGTTTACCACTCAGCAAACAGTAGCAACTCTCAATATAACGTTATCAATAGATAAGACATCGCTAAATAATTAGCTTTTTTTGTCCTTTTAGGACTAATCAGTGAGGAAAATTAAAAAAAAAAAAAAAAAACACACACAAGAAAAAAGAAAAAAAAAAAAAATTAGAACGATAAAGATAGAAATCGTTTTAACTTTTATCAGTGATTATTCACTTTGTTACTTTTTTTATCTTAAGTAATTATTTATCTGCATCTATCCTATTTCTGATATATTAATTGACTTTATTATCCCTTTAAATTGGGAACCCTCTCAAAAGTTTAAGATAAGTACACGTTGATACACACCGTCATAGTCCATATCAAGATCTGTTTCATAATCTGTTTCTTTTGAGTAACGCCCATCAGTTGGATAGTCTGACACAGTAAAAGTATCATCGTCCTCCTCTGTGAGATTGTAATCATTTTCCAATTTACGAGTTGCACCATGCTGTCCTCTTAGCTCTGTTATCAACAATTTATCAGAAAATAGATTTTGTAATGCCGCCATTTTGTCTTCCACCGACAAGACGCTGTGGGGACTTGCACCACTCCGTGGCGAAGATACTCTTCTAAATGTTGCACTTCCGTTGAGGGAAGGGGTTCTTCGTTTGGGTGTACTGTCAGAGCCATTTCTAGAGTCACAGTCCCGAAAGGGAGTACTCGTTCCCGAGATGGCTCCTGTTACAGCTGCCATCTGTAACAAACAGCATATATGAGCATTATGTGCTATAATAATAAATTGATCAACTATACATAGTCTACATGCTTGTTCCCTAAACTCTTGCTGTCCAGGGGAATGATTTTGTCTTATGACAATCATTATCACCAAATAAGAATGTTAAACATGTTTAAACTTACGTGAATTGATCAAAAATTAGTTATTTTGGCATTATATTCTATCTATATATTTCAGCATTTTTCTATTGCTGGTGTATTATTATCCCATGGGTGTCTTACCTTATATTATCAGTGAATAGAACAGGAAATTTGTAATTTGACAGACGTAAACAGCGTAATGCTAATGATACGTATTCAGCATTGCCTGATTATTTACACGTAAAAATTCCATATTCATAATTGTGCCTAGCACAGGTTATTCTGACATCAGTAACAAGCCATAGATAAAAAGGAACATGATTGTAGATACAAAATAGGCAATGCAAGCATTTTACACTGTATATGACTGAACCGTATAAAAATAAGTTGCACACTACAGAAAAAGAACTTTTTCATCGTAGTTTGCTGGATGGATTTCAGCGTCAATATGATTAAGACAATATTGCCGTTTATGTTTTAAAACAGTGAGCTGAAGAACAGAAGTAAAACAATGAAAAAATTCATTACATAAGAACAACAACAGGGATATAAATTTCGAAAGATTAGATAACAATAAAGAAGATAGGCATACTCAATTGAATCTATTTCTTTTGATAGCATGTCTGAAAAAATCTTTCCAACATATTAATTAACAAAGTGGGCTTCCATGGAGAAGGAAGAGGAAGGGGGAGGAGGAGGAGGGGAGGAGGAGGAGGAGGGCGACGTAAACACTGACATTTCAAAATGTTTCAATAAGTTTCTATGCTTTCCTGGTTTACAACCTATGTCGTTAATTAAAGTTCAGGTTTATTTTCATTTCCTTCGATATCATACTTTATCCTTTGCAAAGCTAAAGATACAACATGTAAGGTACCATCGATATGAATTGCTTTGCTTCATTTTTATTTTTATATACGTCAACTGGAATCATTGTATGCGATGTCCTATGTATGTTTCTACCATTTCTCATTCTGGACGGATTAAAGATAATATTAAAGATCTTCTTGACTTTAGGAAATGTTGAGTGTCCCTTCTATATTCCTTGGAAACCAATAACAGCTTTTTGGGCATGTTTACATTGCGAATTTTATATTTATGCAAGGTTGGATAGGTAACTGGGTCTTTCCATGAGTTATGAAATAAAACTTTGTCAAACTTTGAATACTTACCATATCAAATGATATAGAACAAGCTTACCCAAACTATACAATGAAACTTAACCATTCATTGAAACTGTTGTCAATCATTCTATATGATATAATTGACGAAGTAATTACTATATATGCATTTTGTCGATGGTTGAACTTTTCTAAAACCTTAAAGTAAAAGTATTGTATTTTTCATAGAAGTCACTTTTTTAAAAGATGTTTATTATTGTGTTTTTCCTCCCAATAATACGTGATCGTAAAGAAAAAATAGGACACCTCATTACTTTTAATAGTAATTTTAGTGTCCAGTAAAGAAAATATCTCAAATTGTAAATTCCTACATAAGATTCAGTCGCAAATAAGCATGGTAGTGTACAATTCTTCACTGTATTACGAAGTTTATTGTTACAATACAATTGTCTAAAACTAACCTGTTTTCCCTGGGCGTCAGATAGGAAATGCTTACATAACATATTGAGGAAAATGGTATTTAGACAAATAAACCACACACATTGCCTGAGAAATTAGTGGGATAGTCTGATCTGTAATGGAATTTAAGCAAAATAATTCAACTATGTTGTTTGTGAGAAATACGTCCCACACCTTAATTCCATATGTTTAAGATTTAAATACAAATTAGCAAATCGATAGTGTCAGAAAACAAACGATATGTGTATTAGTTGTTTATGTATTGGGTATTGATGGTAAGTGGGATTAATTTATTGTATTATATACAAACCAATATATTACCTCTCTAAATGTAAATTTTCATATATGCCATATATCCATAGGTCCCTAGCCTGAGTCGTGGTCAGTGGCTATTGGATCAGCTTAACTCTCAACACCAAGTACCCAAATACATCAAACAATAGTCGTACGAGTACATTAGTATTATAGGAAATTAAAAGATTTATTGTTATGTGAAAGTTTTGAACATATACAGAACAGTAGCGATATGGGCATACATTGTATCGCTGTTTGCACATAGGTGATTATCTGCTCATACATTTTCCTTTCTGAACTTGTGGATTCAATCAATTGTTAAACAGAGAATCTTTGATAATGCACGGCAAGAATTGTTTGAAATAGTAGAGAATTCCTCGAAATGTTTTTTGTATAGACATTTAGTTGATAATTTAACATTGCAACAATATTTATTTAAATATATACCAAAGCGAAATAGAATTGCTCTAACTAGATTACGTTTATCAGCGCATATGCTGTATAGTGAAACCGGGAGATACCGAAACATTGTGAGAAATGAACGTATATGCAGAATTTGTAATTCTGAAGATATTGAAGACGAATATCATTTTTTTGTTTATTTGTCCATTTTATCAAGCTTTAAGAGAGAGACGTATAAAATTGTATTACTGGAAAAAACCATCAGTTTTCAAGCTGATACAATTATTGAGTACAACGAACTTTAAAGAATTAACTATGTTAAGTAAATATATATATGATGCCACCCAGTTGAGGAATAGCATGATATAATGTTAAAATATATGTAACTACATGCATTTTCTGTCCATTCTCCACTGCAGTATTGCATTGCCTGCTACTGTATTTATATGTATAGTGTACATACTGATGAGCTGTAAAGCTCAAAGTCAATAAAAGAATTTGAATTTGAATTTGAATTTGATTCAATCTATAACATAATTAGTGTTTACCTTTCAAATGTAAATATACCAGATATTATTGTTTATATCTTATGAGTTTACGTTTGATGATTGCAAAGGTAAGATAAAGCTGCCGGTTACTTCCATCTTTACCTGCAACATAACCAACAACCATCTTAACTTCCCTATTGAATTTTTTTCCATTTCTTAATTGTATCAACCAGGCTTCCAGTTTAATCGATATCAGAGGTCTTGTTCCAAACCATAAGAGAGATGTCAACAGCTGTCATGTAACCAAACACAGATTCGAGAAATGCAAGTTAGTGAAGACTATCGAAATTTTTTGTGGTCGCTGTTGAGATATGTATAAATTTCCACGTTCGACATGAATGTGACCTCTCGGGTGCTCGTTAGTATGCCTGGTGATTTCATTGCTGTGAACGTTGTGCTGATTTGAGAAAGTGATATCACTTACTTATGTTAACTAAGATTAAATGGCGCATTTCTTGAATGAAGTTGAAGGCGCTCGCACCTTCTTAACACCTGGTCATATTTTACTTGTGCGTTTTCGAGAATCTCAGTGAAATTATTATCTTTTGTTCATACATTGTCTTCTTGTGGAGTTTGAGTTTGAAGCACAATCTTGGTAATATATCAGTGTTACTTTGTTTTAATTGTTCGTACAATTGGCATGTCATTCTGATACTGTTTTTTCACCGAAGGTTAATCATTTCATTGATATGAACATTCCCCCCACATCCCCCCCCCCCCCCACAAAAAAATAATAATAACGTATGTAGATTACACAAGGAAAGTGTCGCATTAAGATTCGCACTATTTTATATTAATGGTCTTCTAACATCACACATTCCAGTTCCTTTATATATCCCCATTGAGCAGAAATCCTTTAATTTATTCTCTAATTGTGCTTTGAGACGCTCCAAACGTGAGCTTGAGTCTTACATGCTAGTGTTAAGCCTGTAGTATAACACGTTCCAATTAAAAGTATCGATATACTGTGATTCAAACATCCAATTATAGACTCTTTAGATAGGGTGTTGCCTTCACACACCGGTACACATCAATGCGTCTGAATGTTAATTATTGGTTTCTGCTCCTTATTTGTGATTGTATAGGATAAATACATATTTCGAGAATATCTACACAGGAAAGCATTCTAGCGGGAGCAATTGTATATCCATTTTATTGGTACAATGTATATTTATATCTAGACACGCAAATAACAGGTTTATGTCATCATATAATTGATGTTAATACAATTTTACCAGAAAACGCCATTAATAATGTAGTGTATGATATAAAATATGTTTGTTTACACTATAGATAGATTTTAAGTTAGGTGATAAATCTTACCTCGCTTAAACGGATACATCTTTATATCTATTGACTTGAAAATAACGTTTTATTCATGAAGAGAGTAATAAATTTTCATGATCCCCTAACTGTCTCTCTGTGAAGTCAGCAACATAAACCTCTCCCGACAAATAAATAATAAAACTTTAACGTCTACGTTTGTCCTTAAAGAAAACTGAAATACTGTTCCTGACATCACTCAGGTACCGTAAACATTGTATGTTATGTTACAGTGTCATGTTCACATTTTGAATATCATGTTTCATTGGTACATGTTAATTTCAGCTACATCAATAGACATACTAACATGTCTACAGAACCTCAAAACCAATGTAAAGAGTGTATGAAATAACGAGAATAAGTGTTCGAAAAGGGTAAGCTTATTCTGCTTCATTGACGCCACTCGCCATGAGTATCTCCGTAAATCCAAGTAATGTCACGTTCCCAAAATCAGAACAAGGTACCAACAACTAGAAGATATCTTAGTAACGGATAATGTGACAAGTAGGAGCATTTTACCTTTACAGTCACATTCAATAGCATTGTAAAAGACCGTATTTTTTCATGTCAAAAATCAGGATGTTTTGTTAAAGTATTTGTATGTAAATATAATCATACAGACATTCTAAATTATTAAGATTTTCTTTGTTACATAATTATCATGAAACTCAATTTCAAAACAAAGCTGTTTTTTTACTGAAATCACAAGTGTACATAAAACATCGACGTGTTTT